TTTTAGCAAATGGCTGCAATATAACAAAGAGTGAAAAATTTAAGGGGGTCTGAATACTTTCCGTACCCACTGTATGTATAAATAAACAAAAATAGACAAAAATTGCATGTAAATGTGTGCTATAGATGCAATAGAATAGAATAAGATGTAGGGATGGATTAAGATGTAGGGTGGTATCAAATAAATATAAATATTATTGCACAATGGGGAGAGCATTTAAATGTTCATGAGGTAGATTGCCTGAGGGAAGAAACTTTTCTTTTGCCTGGTTGTCCTGGAGTTCGGAGCTCGGTAGCACCGACCAGATGGCAAAAGTTCAAAAAGGAGATGGCTTGAATGTGAGGGATCCAGAGTGATTTTCCTTACTCTGGATGTATATAGTTCTTGGGCAGGGTAGGCAGGGGAGCACCAATAATCCTTACAGAAGTCCGAACCATCCTCTGTAGTCTTCTGATATCTGATTTTGTAGCTGAGTCAAACCAGACAGTTATTGAAGTGCACAGGACGGACTCAATGATGGCAGAGTAGAACTCTTTCAGCAGCTCCTGTTGCAGGTTGAATTTCCTCAGTTGGCAAAGGAAGTACAACCTTTGTTGGGCCTTTTTAACAATGGAGTCGATGTGAATGACCCACTTCAGGTCCTGAGAGCCTTCACAGAAAATGATATATGATGTTACAGATTCCGTGAGCTTGTCCAGATCATTGGTGGCAGCTTCAAAAACACTCCAATCAGTGCAGTCGAAGCAGGCTTGTAATGCCCGCTCTGTTTCGTTGGTCCATCTCTTTACAGTTTTTACACCAGCTCTTTAACCTCCTGTCTGTAAGCAGACTCCTCTCCGTCCTGGATGAGACCGATGACTGTAGTGTAATCTGCAAACTTGAGGAGCTTCACAGAGGGGTCTTTTAGAGGTGCACTCGTTGGTGTAGAGGGAGATGAGCAGTGGGGAGAGGATGCAACCCTGAGGGGCGCCAGTGCTGGTGGTGTGGCTGTTGGATGTGAATTTACCAATTCTCACTAGCTGTTGCCTATCTGTCAGAAAGCTTGTGATCCATTGACAGATAGAGCTAGGGACAGAGAGCTGGGTTAATTTGGTCTGGAGGAGTGTTGGGATGATGGTGTTGAAAGCGGAGCTAAAGTCCACAAACAGGATCCTCACATAAGTCCCTGTTTTGTCCAGATGTTGCAGGATGAAGTGCAGTCCCATGTTGACTGCATCATCCATGGACCTGTTTGCTTGGTAAGCAAACTGCAGGGGGTCAAGTAAGGGTCCAGTAATGTCCTTCAGATAAGCCAACACCAACCTCTCAAATGTCTTCATGACCACAGATGTTAGAGCCACAGTTCTGTAGTCATTAAGTCCTGTTATCTTGGGTTTCTTTGGGACGGGGATGATGGTAGAGCGTTTGAAGCAGGCAGGGACTTTGCACAGCTCCAGTGATCTGTTGAAAATCTGTGAGAGTTGTTGTTCTGTGTCTGTGATCTGATCAGCGAGTTTCTGTAAAGCTGAGCTCACGTGCGCTTGCGGTGGAATGTAAACACTCACGAGAATGAACGAGTGAAACTCCCGCGGCGAATAGAATGGCTTACAGTTAATGAAAAGTGCTTCCAGATCGGAACAGCACATCTTCTTTAACACTGTTACATCTGTACACCACCTTTCATTGATGTTGAAACATGTCCCGCCGCCACTCGATTTCCCCGTTGATTCTGCATCGCGGTCCGCTCTGAACAGCTGGAAGCTCGGCAGATTTAACACGCTGTCCGGTTTCCGTGAAACACAGAGCAGCAGAATGTGAAAAATCCTTATTTGTATGGGAGAGCAGAAGAAGTTTGTCCGTTTTGTTGGGTAGAGAGCGGAGATTCGCCAGATGAATGCTAGGCAGCACCGTTCGAAATCAGCGCTGTCTGAGCTTCATGAGCGTGCTGGCTTGCTTCCCCCGTCTGCGCATCCTGAAGCGTTTGATCAGCGCCACTGCTCCGCCAAATACAACGTTCAGCAACACGTCCGAATAAATGAAATCTGGTAGAAGATTGTGTGGTGTGTACTGCCGAATGTTCAGCAGTTCAGTCCCTGGTAAAACTGATTGTGTTTGAGAAACAAAAAAAAGGAAAAACTAACAAAAACTGGAGAGCCAATCACTGAGGCAGCCATCTGCGGTGCCATCTTGGATTGATTCTTCAACATGTCAGGGAAAAAAAACTGAATCACTGAGCTGGAAAAAGAATCACCCGCTCCTAAAAATGACTTATAAACTCAATCAGGTGTAGCTAATCACCTTCTCAATGGCACACAAAGCCATTTGACATTCAGCTGTGATCAGCTGTGCTCATTTTGAATAGCTCAGCATGAAAAGAGCTTTCCTGGAGAATTTCAGTCCTTGGTAGTGCAAGTGAAGCAAACAATCAACTATGATGTCGCTCCAAACTGGATGAAAGAGCTAGAAGGAAACTGGTCAGAGAGGCTACCAAGAGGCCTACAGCAACTCTGAAGCATTTGCAGGAATTTATGACAAAGAGTGTTCATTGTGTGCAAGTGACAACAATATTTCAAATTCTCCACAAATCTGGCTTGTATGGGAGTGTTACAAGAAAAAAGCCACTCCTCAAGAAAGGCCACATGCTGTCAGACTGAGCTTTGCCAAAACGCACCTTGAAGATTCTGAGGCATTTGAGACTAAAATTTGAATTATTTGGCCTCAACACCAAACGATATGTCTGGCGGAAACCCAATGCAGCTCACCATTCACATAACACCATTGCTACAGTAAAGCATGGAGGTGGAGATATCCTGTTATGGAGCGTTTCTCTGCCGCAACGACTGGAGCACTTGTCAGGATAGAAGGAAAAATGGCAAAATACCATCAATTTCTTGAGGAAAATAACCCCAATGAAAATATGTGGAATAACTTGAAGACTGCAGTCCACAAACGGTTACAAAATAAGCAAATTTAACTGAACTTGAGCAGTTCTGCAAAGAAGAGTGGTCAAATATTGCAAAGTCTAGATGTACAAAGTTAGTAGAGACTGAGACATATCCCAACAGATTAAAGGCTGTAATTAAATCAAATGATTACTTTTTTTTGTTTGTTTGTTTGTTTTTTTCTGACATGTATTATATCCTTCACTTGGATGTTATAAGTTGCATTGAGTAAATACAGCTAGATAAAACAAAAACTGTGTCCATCTTCATTTCAGGCTGCAAAGCAACAAAATGTGATTATTTTAAAGGGGTGTGATTCTTTTCTATACCCACTGTAGGTTGTTTCCTTTTTTTCATTGTTTTGCTTTTTGTTTTGTTGCTTTGTTCTTTGTTTATTTTTCTTGTTTTGCTTATTTAGATTTTTTTTTTTTTTTTTTGGTTTGTTTGCTTGATTATTTTGCTTGTTCTGCTTTTTTGTTCTTTGTTTACTTGGCTTGTTTTGCTGTTGTTGTTTTTTCTTTACTTGGATTTGTTTACGTTGCTTTTTGTTGTTTTTGCTTTGCTTGTTTTTTGTTTACTTAGCTTGTTTTGGTTCCCTTTTTTGCTTTTGGTCTATCGGGTCTTTGAATGACTTACATTTTTAGCTTCTCTCTGACTCTTAAAATTGAACAATCTTTTTGATACTTTAACTTCAAGACTTCAATAGTTAAATGAAGTGTGCTGTGATTGACTTAACTTTTCCACATGTTCCATGTGTTTTTTAGGAGTGTCTAAACCCCTGCTGTAACGCTACAACCTGCACTCTGAAGGGAGATGCTGTGTGTGCCCATGGACAGTGCTGTGAAGACTGCCAGGTACTTTTGTAAATCTGTCCCATCCCTCTTTCCTCCTCATTCATTCTTTCTCTGTGTGTAAAATAATGGCATGGAAATCACATTCTCCTTGCCCCATTAATAAGTGCAACATGAACCGACATTTGCGCTTCAAACATAGGCACTAATTTTCCTCTCAGGTCTCCAGACACATAAATCAGAGCGCTCAGCTCACTTACTTACTGAGGAAAGAAGCCAGACCAGGGCCCTTCGGAACAGACCGCAGAACAGGGATACATGTTCACACAGACTTTACAACAAACTACAACAGGCTTTCAACATAATGCTTCATTAAATGGAAATTGCAACTAAAAGAATTTAATCTTGGCACTTTTTGGACTATATTTCGTTTCTTAGTGCAACGTAAAGGAATAGTTTTTGGATAACTTTTCCATGAATATTACTTGGTAGAAACAACTGAACAACTGACTATTGTACCCAATAGCCTTTGTAATTCATGCAAAGCTTGTCTCTGCATCACTTTGAATTTATCCCATAGTGCCTGCATCGGAGTTGAGTATGTATTTCTCTTTGCTTCATTTTGAAAGAAATCCCCTTTAGTTGACTGTGCACTTTAAGTTTGCTCTATTTTTGTCTGAAGCCTTTTGTTCTTGTGTGTCTGTGCAGTTAAAACCAGCTGGGACTCCTTGTAGAGAGTCCAGTAACTCCTGTGACTTACCTGAGTTTTGCACTGGATCAAACCCCCACTGCCCTGCCAATGTGTACCTGCAAGATGGACTCGTGTGCCACAATATGGATGGTTACTGTTACAACGGCATCTGTCAGACTCATGAGCAGCAATGCATCACTCTGTGGGGACCAGGTTGGTATGTGGATAGCTGCAGGGTTTCTGGGCTTATTTGGTTGACCAAAAATTGATCGTAGGGTTCTGCAGATATACATTTTATTAATCGTACATTTTTGACACTGTAATTCTATATGTAACCATTGTCGAGCCAGATTTTCCCATTCAATCCTGCATGCATTCATATGGCGAGCTCAAGCAATATGAAAGCTCACACTGATTGCTGTTATTTATTCCATATGTCTGTTCATACTCCCTTCAAAAAGGATTCAGGCCACAGTCTGACATATGATATCCTTTCATCTGTTTTTGATTTATATACAAGCTAAAACAAGATGGAAGGATTGTACAGTGTCATATTTCCATCTCTGACAGTGGGCATATGCTGTTTTATTTTCATTCCTTTTCGTTTTCTAGGAGCGAAACCTGCCCCGGGAATCTGTTTTGAAAGAGTAAACTCTGCAGGTGATCCCTATGGAAATTGTGGAAAAGACTCCAAAGGTTCCTTTGCTAAATGTCAAGCAAGGTACAGGCAGGGCATGATACTACAGCTCTTTGCACTTGAACCTTTTACTTAAAGTACAATTACATTCATTTGTCAAATTTGCTTCAATTTTACATTTTATTATATTATTACTTTTCTATTTTGCTTTAATTAATTTTATTTTGTTTGCTTCATATGCTTTGCTTTTTGTTTTGTTCTTGTTGTTTTGTTTGCTTGATTTGACACTTTTTGTTTAGTTTTCTTGTTCTGTTTTGTTCTGCTTCGTTTAATTTTGTTTTATTTTGCTTTGCTCATTTCTTTTGTTTCCCTTTGCTTTGCCTTCTGTTTTGCTTGTTTTCCTCTATTTTTGATATAATATTGTTCTGTTCCCTGTCGATACTTCACTCGTACTGCGTCGCTAAGACGCTATGAGGAAAACTACTTTTCTCCGATGACTGAATCCTTTTTTTAATAACGCAGTGTAACTGCACGGCCATTGGTTCGTGCAGTGATATAAAAATCTAACCAATGGCTCAGCAGCGTAGCTGCACAAGCCTATGGCGATGAAGCCTGCCAGAGCCTGCCAGAATGGGCTGGGCCATCTGGCTATATAAGCGGGCCTGTTGCCATAGGATCCTCAGGTTACTTCGACTGAAGCGACGACTGAATCGTGCAGCTGCATAGCACGGCGAGTTACGCAGTACTCGTTCCCGTATCTCAGGGAACCGAGGTTACGTTAGTAACGGAGTGCGTTTCCTGTCGGATATCGTTCCTGGGAGCAGTTTTCGGACAGTTTTTCACACTGGCTATTCAGCAGCTCATGGCATCTTTCAAAATAGGAGCCTCTGACCCCCTCAAGACGTTTCAGAAGATGCTGGGTCTCATGGCCTCTGCATCTCCAGTGCTACAGCTAGGCCTGCTTCGCATGCGGCCCCTTCAGTACTGGCTGAAACCGCTAGTTCCGTCCCATGTCTGGCATTTTCGTATCAAGGTGGACCAGGCCTGCGCGGCAGCTCGGGCCCCTTGAAAAGATTCTCAGTGGATAGAACGGGGTGTGCCCCTGGGAATGGTCTGCTGAAGGACGGTAGTCTCGACAGACGCTTCCAACACAGGTTTGGAGCGCTGTGCGATGGCAAACCGGCTTTTGGCCTCTGGTCGAAAGAGGAAGGACGGCTGCACATCAACTGCCTGGAGATGCTGGCAGTGTGTTTGGGCCTTCGCACCTTCTTGCCAGACCTAAGGGGACACCACGTCCTAGGGCTGTGCAATTAATTGAAAAACAGTTTCGATTTCAATTTTGGCCTCCAATGATTATGAAAATATAGTAATCGAGAAAACGATTATTGCGCCTCATTCCGCCCCCTTTTCCAGCGCTGCGCTTTCGTTCCTCCATAAAAGCCCAATTTTATGTGCAAATCAGTAAAATCATGGAACGTGACTTTTGCAAAATGGGACGTGCTTGATTTATAGAAGTATATTTATTCATGTTTTTAAAAGCGTGAAAGAGAACTTGCACTGCTCCTCAGAAAGATATGCGCTCAGAAACGGAACAGAACACGAACATGTAAAGTCATCTTTTAGCTAAGGTGCGCGCCTAAACGGTCAAATACACGCAAAAAATGTGTCAAAATGCAGCGCTTAGTGATTATTCATGCATACCTTCGTCGGTCACGTAATAAATGAACGTAAAGAGTTGAGAATGAAAATACACGTATAACGGTAAACTGGATCCGTGCGGCTCTTAAAGTGACAGTGGGCTATTTTCCTGCTGCGACTGTGTGCTTAATATTAATCAAAAAACAAAAGACAAATTCAAAATCACACACTGCTCTTGAGTGAAGGACTTTTGTAGCTTTAATAAGAAACAAAAATGTTTAATTCTTACAGTGAAGACTATGCTGTTTTATTTTACATTTGATTATTCATTTCTGTAGTAGGCTGTAAACTGCTTGAGACTTGCATAAAAAAACATTAAAGCAGAGTTTGTTTCATTTGTATCTTTTAATTCTATTGTATTTGTCCTTTGCTTTTTTATTACTGACAGTTTAATAATTTTCAATCATTTTGAGGACTTTTTGTTTGTTTGAAATTCTGCTGGTCTCTACAATGTAGATGTCATAGCAACCTTATTTACAGGAAATAGGCTAAATATATTTGATATGTATCACTATCTTTAAATAAATCACTCATATAAAGTTTTGGTAAAGAGCACAGGTTATAACGCTTTCATAATAATATAATATAACTCTCGGAGGACGACCAGGAGTTGAACTTACTCTGCCCCGTCAGGGCATTGCGTTTTTATATCGAGCGTTCCGCCCCGATCAGGCAGTCGGAACAACACTTTATATGCTTCTGTGGCCGCACCAAATGGCTTCCGGTCACTAAGCAGAGACTCTCCAGGTGGAGAGTTGATGCTATTGAGCTAGCGTACTCCTCTTTGGGCCTGCACTGCCCCATAGGAGTAAGAGCCCATTCGACTAGAGGTATGGCCTCATCTTGGGCGTGGTCTAGTGGTGTGTCCATTGCAGAAATCTGTGCGGCGGCCGGCTGGGCCTTGCCATCCACATTTGACAGGTTCAATAATCTGGACATACCAGCCTTACAGGCCAGGGTCCTTTCTGCGTAATGGGCTCATTCTTGCCTTAGGGCAATTACCAGTGCTTAGGCTTTGCCTCCCTTCTTACGCTCTTGACCCTCACAGAGTGCCGAGGCTGTAAGGGTCTTCTTGGAACAATTACTCATGGCCGAGCTGACCTCTGCGAGTTTAGCCCTATTGCTTCCTGTGGGGCATTCCCTGCTAAATACTTGGTCTCTCTGGGCCCCTTGTGGTGCTTAAGGCAAGTTCAAGTATGAGTCGTTCCTCTAGCATAACACGGCGGGATTGTACTGGTTCCCCATAGCGTCTTAGCGACGCAGTACGAGTGAAGTATCGACAGGAAATGCACTCGGTTACTAACGTATCCTCGGTTCCCTGAGATACGGGAATGAGTACTGCGTAACTAGCCGTGCTATGCAGCTGCACAACTCAGTTGTCGCTTCATTCGAAGTAACCTGAGGATCCTATGGCAACAGGCCAGATATAGCCAGATGGCCCCGCCCATTCTGGCGGGCTCTGGCAGGCTTAATTGCCATAGGCTTGTGCAGCTCCGCTGCTGAGCCATTGGTTCTATTTTTGTATCACTGGTTGTTGATTTGGCAACCAATGGCCGTGCAGTTACACTGCATTATTAAAAAAAGGCTTCAGTCATTGGAGAATAGGAGTTTTCCCCATTAGCGTCTTAGCGATGCAGTACTCATTCCCGTATCTCATGGAACCGAGGTTACATTAGTAACCGAGTACGTTTTGTTTGGTAAACTACTTCTTTGCCCCATTTTAACTTTTATTCTACTTAATTTTGTGGTATTTTGGCAATACAAATTCTTAGCTTTTATAGTGCCAATACAGCATGCTTAATTAAAATTTAGAACCAGTGACTAACACAGAAATACCCATTTTCATGACATACATTCTCAAAACAATAAAATATTAAAATAAAGAATAAGTGAGACAGAGTAATATCGGTCAAGGTTGTCCTGATTCATTCATGTCACTTGCTGTCTAATTATTATGGGATGGCCCATCAGACATGTTGTAAAGAAGGTAATTTTATTAATTTCTTTGTAGCCATGACATTATTATTCAGTGACAGAGGCAGCCCCATGGTTTTGCATGTAATCTCTTGTCACTATTAATTACACTCTCTGCTCCTCACATGAGTGAGAGGGTGTGAAAGGCAAGATTACCTCAAGACAGCACAATCTCCTCTCTGTTTTTCAGTTGTTTTATCACCTTATCCCATTTATTCAGTGTAAAAACATTTAGCACTTTTGTTGCATGCTCACTCCTTGTATTTTGTCTGTGTGATTTAAACAGGGACGCTAGGTGTGGGAAAATTCAGTGCCAAGGAGGTGCCAAAAGGCCAGTGATCGGAACCAATGCGGTGTCCATAGAGACAAACATACCTCTGCAGGAGGGTGGGCGTATTCTGTGCCGCGGAACACATGTGTACCTTGGTGATGATATGCCTGATCCAGGACTGGTATTGGCTGGCACAAAGTGTGCTGAGGGAATGGTATGAGAATAAATCATGACATTATGTATCTGCTTGAGATTATGTCATCAAGAAATTATGCTAGTGGTTTATCAGCTAGGCTGAGATGATATTTGGCAATTTTTATTGCATTCCATTGGCCATTTGGTGGTTGTTTTGCTGATTAACCTCCCCAGTGTATCAGTTTCAATATCCACATATTATATTATATATTTGTCATAATCACCAGCTGGAGTGCCTTTGATAATCACTGGAGGGCACTCCATCCCATACTGTTACTCAGTCTTGGACTTAATTTCCCATAACCCATTGCCCAGACTCATCATGACTGATTGTTTTCACCTGTTGCTCATTACCTCTCCCTATATACATGGCTGCCATTCCAGAGTCTCGTCCCGTCATGACCACCAGCCCAGAGCCTCTCCGCGAGATTGCCGCCAGCCCAGAGCCTCTCCGCAAGATGGCTACCCCGCCAGTGTCTTCAGCCATCATGGACGCCATGCCAGTTTTCCCGGCCTTCACGAACGATGCACTTGAAGCTAGTAAGGCAGTGCCCAGGCAACCGAGACTTATGTACACTGTGGCGGACCCCCCTCTGATGTCGGTGTGAGCGGCAGGCATCCCGGTGACCTCAGCGCTTGCAAGCTCCGTGGCCTCTGCACAGGTTCTCCCACCTTCAGCTGCCCTTCCAGTAATGGCGGTCGCCATTTTGTGTGTTTGGGCTGCACACTCCTCTCCAGTTCATAAGTCCACTCCAGAACCTGCTCCAGTCCATGTGTCTGCTCCAGAGCTCGTTCCAGTCCATGAGTCTGCTCCAGAGCTCGCTCCAGTCCATGAGTCTGCTCCAGAGCTCGCTCCAGTCCATGAGTCTGCTCCAGCGCCCGCTCCAGTCCATGAATCTGCTCCAGATCCAGCTCCAGTCCATGAATCCGCTCCAGAGCCAGCTCCAGTCCATGAGTCTGCTCCAGACCCAGCTCCAGTCCACGAGTCCGCTGCAGAGCCCTCTCCAGTCCACGAGTCCGCTGCAGAGCCCTCTCCAGTCCACGAGTCCGCTCCAGAGCTCGCTCCAGTCAATTAGTCTGCTCCAGAGCCTGCTCCAGTCCGTGAGTCAATGCAAGTCTCAGAGCTCAGTCCTGTGTTGACACCAGCCTGTGAGATCCCTGCCTGTCCTTTCTCAACCACATGTCACCCTTGAGCTCCCTGCCTGTCCTGTCACGGCCAAGAAGGCTGTCTCTGAGCTCTTTGCCTGTCCTATTACAGCCGCAGAGGCCATTGTTAACCTCTGTGCTTTCTATTCCAGACCTGCCTGATCCGCCTTGGTTGTCACCTGCCTCATCAGCTCCAATTTGGTGGTCATCGGCTCAGCCTGAGCCTTCTTGGTGTTCACTCGCACCATCAGCTCCGCTGAAGTGGTCTTCAGCTCCACCCTAGTGGTCGTCTGCTCCACCGTGGGGCCCTTCGGTCCCGTCTGCTCCACCCTGGTGGTCTTCAGCTCTGCTTGCTCTGCCCTGGAGGTCTCCAGCTCTGCCCTGGTGGTCTCCTGCTCTGTCAGCTCTGCCCTGGTGGTCTCCTGCTCTGCCAGCTACGCCCTGGTGGACTTCGGATCCGCCCTGGATTCCTGCTCTGCCCTGGATTCCTGCTCTGCCAGCTCCCCCTGGCTTCCTTCTCTGCCCTGGCTTCCTGCTCGACCCAGGTCTCCTGCTCCACCGGCTCCAGTTCCTTTTTCTGTCCATGGACTTGGCCCTCCATCCGTCCCCCGTTTTGCCTCTGCCCCACCTCCCTCCTGGACTTGAGTCTTTTCTTGTTTAGGAGCGTCTGGAAGCCGCTCCTTAGAAGGTGGGGGGCTATGTCATGATCACCAGCTGGAGTGCCTTTTGATAACCACCAGAGGACAATCCAACCCATTCCTCTGTCACTCAGTCTTGGACTTCATTTCCCATAACCCATTGCCCAGACTCATCATGCCTGATTTTCACCTGTTGCTCATTACCCCTGCCTATATAAGCCTGGTGTTTTCAGTTACTCTTTGCAAAGTCTTGTATGTGTCATTACTGCAATTATAAGCCTTGTATCCTGGTTCTCCCATATTTTGGTTCCTGGTCTTATTCTGCCTGGTTTCTGTTTGCCTCAGCCCCTTACTCTTTCGTTGTTGTAGATTGCCTATGTGTGTCCTTTGCCTGCCTTTGGATTACGTTTGTGGATTATCCCTTCAGTAAACTACTGCTGTGTGTGATAATTTAAAATGACTCCTTTAATTAAATAGGCTTTCATGATTATTTTTTATTAAACTACTAACTTTTGCTACAAGTTTGATTGCAACATATAATCATTGCTGTTAATAGTGTTCATCGTCTGTTTGATTACGTCATTAACTGAATTTTACCGCTCATTTCTGCCATATGTACATCAATTTGACAGTCACCACTGACAAGCTACTACTAAATATACTGTAGAAACTTCATTTTATGAAAAGCTGCTTTGCAACGATTTGTATCGTGAAAAGCGCTATACAAATAAACTTGAATTCAATTCAATTGAATTTAATTCTTTTGCAAATTATTTTGAAGTTGTTTTATTATAAAGAAATGTATCAGTTGTTTAGATATAGTAAAGTAATAATTGTGATTTATTTTATACTTTTGATAGCCCTAGTTTTTAACCGTAAGATATAAAATCCATATCTGCATATTTAAGTTTTTGAGTTTTAGTTTTGAGTAAATATGTAATTTTCTTACAATATGTGCATTTACATGTATTTAGAGTGTACTTGCCTAAAAAAGTAATTTAATATAATGTAACTGCATGGGTTAGGGTTAGTACCTAGTTATACCCAGTTAATGTAATTACTATAAGTGAAAAGCGCTATACAAATAAACTTGAATTGAATTCAATTGAATTTAATTCTTTTGCAAATTATTTTGAAATTGTTTTATTATAAAGAAATGTATCAGTTGTTTAGATATAGTAAAGTAATAATTGTGATTTATTTTATACTTTTGATAGCCCTAGTTTTTAACCGTAAGATATAAAATCCATATCTGCATATTTAAGTTTTTGAGTTTTAGTTTTGAGTAAATATGTAATTTTCTTACAATATGTGCATTTACATGTATTTAGAGTGTACTTGCCTAAAAAAGTAATTTAATATAATGTAACTGCATGGGTTAGGGTTAGTACCTAGTTATACCCAGTTAATGTAATTACTATAATAAGAACATAGTATGCATATGCGGAACTGGACTGTAAAATGAAGTGGTACCTCATTTTCTGTTAAAAAATATTATACTGGCTATTGGTATTATATTGGCCACCCTGGCACTTTAAAAAAAAAAAACATTTCGGTCAACCAGTAGTTAAGGCCAGTAACAAAAATGTTTCCTAGCAGTTGATACCTATTCAGTGTCTTGTTTTTTCTTAACCTGCAGTTCTCGTTGTCTCTCTTTCTTTATAACAGATCTGTTTGAACAGGCAGTGTCAGAATGTCAGTGTCTTTGGAGTGCACAAGTGCTCTGGGAAGTGTAATGGAAGAGGGGTAAGGTTGCTTCTGCTCTGTCAGTCGAAATTTTCTCAAATCTGCTGGAGAAAGGTTTTTTTAATCTCTTTTATTTCTCTGACATTAGTTATCAGGCATTAGGCTCAGATTTGAGTCAGGAATGGTAATAGTTAGTCAGCACAAATTATTGCCCTCTACTGAAAGTCTCGCCTTTTACAGAAACGTCCATTTCATTACATTATAGCTATCTGCCAAGGGGACAGCATGTGGCCATAATAGCACTTAGCTAGGTACACATTCTATAACTTCACTTGAACTAGATTACTGCTACGAATGAAATAGCATTTAAAAGCACAGATATGACACGGATTCTGTACTAAATTAGATCACAGCATAACCTTGTGTCAGTCATGGTCTTTCATGGAAGCTTGATACATTTGAAGGTCTAGTTCACCCAAAATTAAAATCTGTCATTTACTCATCCTGCTGTTTTTTTTTGTAAAGCTGCTCTTTCCTTTGTATTGAAAGTGAATGGTGACCACAGCTGTTAAGCAAGATTTTCAGGGCAAGATTCTTGTAAATTACTGCTCCTCACACAAAGTTATGGCTTCAGAAGTCTTGGAATACAGCTTACAAGTCGTATGGACTGTTTTTATGATGCTTTTTGTCCTTTTTGGAGCTTGACAGGTCTTGGACAACATTCACTTCCATTGCATAGAATACTGCAGCTCGGATATCCTTCAAAACTTCACCTTTTGTGTTTCAAGGAAGAAAGTCATAAAGATTTGGAATAACATTAGAACGAGTTCAGATTTTGGGTTAACAATTTTTTACTAAATCATACCCCAGTGGCACACACTGTAAATCCCAGCATGCTGGGTGACTTGAAGCTTATCTCAGCTGTTGAAGTACTTCACAATCAATCTCTGTCGCTCCAGTAAGGTTATAGGAGTCATATTGATTTCATTTATGTACCATTAAAAGTGTCATTTATAATCTTTTGGCTCATATGCACATGTGCTTTTTTGCCAGAGGAGCGGTAAAATGCAATAGCTAAACATTGTGGCCAAGAATACCCCCACGTTGTCTTTTGCATTTGCACCCACTGTCAGCTCTGGAGGGCGAGCATATAATGTTTTATTTATTTTCTCTTGTTATACGCTTCCTAAATTGGAATTCTTATTTTTGTCTGTAGGCTGTGCAATTGCATCTGTTTTTTCTCCAAGGTCTATTTCCTTATTGGAACTGTGCTGCAAGATGAATTTATCATTGTTAATAAAGATGTTGGGAGCTCTGTCAGCATCCTGAGATCCTGGATCTTCTGACTGCTAGTACTTTTTTTAAGAACAATAGAAGACCACTAAATACCAAGACCAATACTAGACCCATTAAAGGGATAGTTCACTCAAAAATGAAAATTGTCATCATTTACTCACGTTTGAGTTGTTCTAATGGTGTATGCCTGTCTCTCTTTTTCGGACCACAAAAGGAGATTTTTTTAAAAATGTCCCATGCTTGCTTGTCCATATAATGGCACTGTATGGCAATCAGCATCAGGCTTTTAAAAAAGTCATAAAAGTATCACAGAATGGTCTCATGCGACACATGCCGTGTATTCCAAGTGTTCGGGGGTATAAGATAGGGTTTGGTGGGAAACAAAGCAAAATTTTACATATTATTTAACAAATGTCCTGACCTTGGCCGTTGGTCTCTGTGCATGTCTGCATGTTCATGAGACTCTATTAGTGCAGTAGTTCACTCTGACTCGTCTAGGAAAAGCACACAAGTTGTGAAAAATCTAGATTCATAGATTTGATTTCAACATGAAACAATGCCTTGAAATCCCCAAAAAAGTATGTGTGCACTTTCTTCACTGAGTTGAGTAACTCCGGACCGGAGCTCCGGTTGTCATGACAGTCAAAATGACAGTTAACAGATGAACGTGATAACTTGTGATGAGCACAAAAGATATATTTACCTCAGAGAAGAACGTACATGGATTGTATTTCATTTTGCATTTTTTATTAATCTTGTTTTTTCACAACTTGTGTGCTTTTCCTGGGTGAGTCAGAGTAAACTGCTGCGCTAATAGTAATTGAGTAATAGTCCTGCACAGAGACCAATGGTCAAGTCAGGATATTTGTTAAATAATGTGTTAAATTTTAGTTTGTTTCTCACCAAACCCTATCGTATACCCCGAACACATGGAATATACGGCAAATGTTGCATGGAACCACTCTGTGATACTTTTGCGTCTTTTTTAAAAGCTTGATGCTGATCGTCATAATGTACACTGCCATTATATGCTTTTGTTTAAATCTCCTTTTGTGCTGAAAAAGAAAGAAGGTCATACGGTATTAGAAAAGTGGTGAGTAAGGATGAGTAAATGATGACTTATTTTTAATTTTTGGGTGAACTATCCCTTTAAGCCCCACACTAGACCCCCTAAGATTTTGATTAATACTAGACCACTAAGGCTATTGATTTCTAGTCTTGAGAGCTCTCAAGACCAAGTCCACAAAATCAAGACTTACACACTCTAATGATACTCATTAATTCCTGAAATGTAAGAGTTGGTCTGCTGAGAGGCTTTTTACACATGTTGAAACCATCACAGCATCCATGAAAGTTTGATGAGCAAGTTAGAAGTTTGAGAGTCTGAAAAATTCCCTGGTGTTTTTATGGCGGGAAAGACATAGCTGCTTCTTTCATTTTAGAAGGCAGACATCTAATATTCAGACTGTGATTTAAACATCAAGTGACATCAATCAACTTATGCAGCGACCCCTGACACATACCCTGATGGAAAAATTTCATGCATTTTTGTGCAAATGGAAAAATGTTGCCTTTGAATGCAACACTGAACAGACCATCCATGAACTGAATGCTCATGAGGAGATTTCATACCATTATACCCCAGAATTCCTTAAGCAGCAGGATGTTGTTGAAAATGTCCAGCAAGAAATTTGATCAGGTGGTTTGAGCTGCATGTGGCACTCATTGATGCCAGTTGCTTTATGTTTACAGGAATGCAACAACGAGAAGAACTGCCACTGTGAAGCTCACTGGGCACCTCCTTTCTGTGATAGGGCGGGGTTTGGCGGCAGCGTCGACAGTGGGCCAATGAGACAAGCCGGTACAGTGATGGCCATTGCACTTTTGACTTGCTAGAGCAGTATGCAATATGCTAACACAGCATGACTTAACATGCTTTAATCCATACTTACTGCAGTGCTTATGTGCTCCTTTCCAGTTTCTAGTCTAAGGTCAGAAACATACTCTTTTAAGCAAGTATGCAAACACAATGTTTTTTTAATTTTATTAATTTATTTCAGAAACAACTTTAAAAAAAAGAAACAATATCTATCTATCTGTCTGTCTATCATTCTATCGTTCTATATATCATTCTAAGAAATTTCACAAACAACTCTATACAAAGAAATTAAGCAAAATGATGAAAGTGACCTTCCTTAGTTACAAATAAATAATACATTTACAAATTTATTACATTTATGCATTTTGCAGATGCTTTTATCCAAAGCGATTTGAGGAACAAAAAGCAACACTTATACACAATGCCAGTTTTTTTAGGCAACTATTACTTTTATTTTAAAGTCTTTTTATTTTTACATTTATAAAACAGAAACATTAAAGGAAAAAAAGGGGGGGGGAAATGACCGTTGAAGAAGTTTACACAAATGCTTGTGATAACGTCTGTTGAGAATGGATACATGCATTGCATTATTAATTACTTGTTAACAAATTTCAGAATACAATGATGCATACATTATATTTTGCATACCAAGAAGCATTTCTGTTTGCGAACATGTCTGGAGTATGTTTCGACATGCATCATGCATTCAGAATGTACTGAACTGTACTGCTGTACTGCTGTACTGAACTGTACTGCTTGAGGAAGTGCACCAGCTCTAACCACTTTCATCCCCTCTGTGACAGCTGCACTGCAGGTAGAACAGCGCAGCTTGAAAGTGCAATGTACTTACAAAACCCATTAAACGATTTTCCAGTGGAAAAGCATAACAGCATTGACAGGACATGTCATTGATTTACTGGTGGAAACCTGAAGCACTGCGCTTAGATGTCACTCAGCAGACATTCAAGAACTTTGAGACAGCTTGTAAAAGCAATGCAGGTGGAGACACAGAGGGATGTTGATCGATTCTTTTTCTCTCTAACCTGACTGTGACTTCTTGTCTTTTCCCTCTCTGTGCCATTCTGTGTCGTGCTGTACAACAGATGTGCGAGAGTGTGTATTAATGTGCGTGCTGTCCTATGTGACAACAGCTGACAGTAGCGCTGTGGCCATGGGTGTGCTGGTCACCCTTCTTTGCTTGCTGTCGGCGGGACTGATTGTGTGCCTGAAGAGGAAAGCACTGGTTCAGATGTTCTGCATCAATAAGAAGAGCGCCATTCAAAAGCTCAGGTACTGTCAACCAATGCAGCAGTGTTTTCCAAAATGTGTTTGATCCTGAATTCCTGCTGGTTTCCATCCAGGGACACCAAGAGTCCTGAGAGTTTTTTTTAAGCTAAAGGGAATTAAAGGGGTCATATGATGCGATTTCAAGTTTTCCTTTCTCTTTGGAGTGTTACCTTTAAGTTTCAAGTTCAGTATAAGTTCATATCGACAGGAATTTGGGCCATAATGTAGTTTGTCACAGAAAATAATTTTGACTCGTTCCTTAAAAAAAAAAATCATGGTCAGAGTAACATACTTACAATGGAAGTAAACTGGGCCGGCATTCCAGAGGGTTTAAAAGTCTAAATGTGAAGCTTGTATTTTTGTTAAAACTCTTGAATTATTCAGTAAAACCCTGTTTATAATTTAAGCTTTAAAGCTGTATACATCACCCTTTTTGAGGCGAGAATAGTTGGGTGAACTTCTGTGTTACTTATGTAATTCCTCCTTTCAACAGTTTGGGGTTGGGAAGATTTCTTAATCAAAGTCTCTAATACTCACCACATTTATTTGATTAAAAATACAGTAAAAATTGTAATATTTTGAAATATTATTACAATTTAAAATAACAGTTGTCTTTGTGAATATATTTTAAAATGTAATTTATTTCTGTGATGGCAAAGCTGAATTTTCAGCAGCCATTACTCCAGTCATCAGTGTTACATGATCCTTCAGAAATCATTCTAACATGCTGATTTGGTGCTTAAGAAACATTTCGTAATATCAATGTTGAAAACAGTTGTGCTCAGAATCTCAGGATTCTTTAATGACTAGAAAGTTCAAAAGAACAGCATTTATTTGAAATAGAAATCTTTTGTAACATCATAAATGTCTTTACTCTCACTTTTGATCAATTTGTTGCATCCTTGGTAAATAAAAGTTTTTTTTTATCATTATTTTTTTAAACATATTGACACCAAACATTCTGTCAGACCATGGCTATCATTTTAAAATGGTGTGTATTTTAATATTTACTGCCTGGACTTTGTCTACTTACATCGTACATGCCTTACTATGAACATGATTTTTTGCTTTTTAAAAATAATGAGCAAGTAAAAATGTTTGTGGTAATCAACAGATGCCACAGATGCTGCAATAGAGCTTAATAAAAAGTGGTGTATAAAAAGGGAACATCCCTACTGTAGTAATCATATTCAGCATATTTATACCTAAAACATAAAACATTTTGAAAACTTTCTTAATTTTACAGATCAGTAGGAACAAAACAAGCACCCAGCCCCCCACGGACACAGTCAGTCTTCAGGGTCTCGCCTCAGCACAAGCCCGCCTCTTTACCTTTACAGTCCCGCTGTGACAAGGTAAGTGATAAGAAGATACTCTGCTCATCATCACAGACTGAGGCACACAACGTGATAATAATGTCCAAAACTTTTTTATATATTATATATCAAATATTATATATTAAATATTTTATATTTTTTAATATTTCTTATCCAAAATGAGTTACCTATTTTCAGTAGTACAATTTCCTTATTGCATTTGTGAAAACATTTTTTTTTAAATAATCATGCTAAACTGAATCGAAGCAGACAGTTTGTGACCAAATAGCAGATTTTATGTATTGTATCATTTTGTGAAGAATTCCATAATTCCATAATTCATTACCTCAGTGTCTGTCCTGCCCAGCGAGGAGCAGATGAGGTTAGCTCACTCGCACAATTACTATGGCCATCCAAGCCAATTTATCCCTTGCTTTCTGTGTACACAGCATGAGACTTAGGTGCATAATTGATTTATTCTCCAGTATCGACCCTCAAAGAATTTTAATGAAGTCCAGATCTTCATCTAAAACCTCAAACATTAATTTTGAAGCATTTCTGTTTTAATTCAGTGTAATGTACTTGAGTAGCATAACAATATAATCATTGAAATTGTTTGTTGGAGCTGGAAGCCTTTGCTCAAAGGGGGAGGTCAGGCCTCTATGTGATTGGACAGTCGCCATTGAAATGTGTTGGGTTGTTAAAGCATTGATCAGTTGCTTCATCTGGGTATTTTTAGTCTGTGTGCCATGCCACAACCTGGAACGGTATTGAATTGTGAAGCAGTGTATGCAGAAAAAGGTTTAGATTGATTCCTCGAAAGGTCTTAAAGGTTAGCAGTAGCGAGCAGTAGAGCTCGTATTGAATTCTTGTCTTTATTTTCAAGAGCTGTCTGTTTTCCACAGATGTCTCATCCCAGTTCGGAGCCTCTCCTTCCTCCACACAACTTCCACAGTTTGCATCGGCTGCCTGAATGTCCCACCCGCTGCCAGCCTGTCCACATCAGCCACCCCATGCCCATCACAGGTCTGCAGCCTCTGCCCTCAGTCCTGCCTCACAGGACTCTAGTGTCACACACACACTCGCCAGGCAGAGCGGCAGGCTTTCACACCCTCCCTCACCAGCTGCCCTACACTAACATCCAGGTAAGTGCTGTCAGCCTCAGACTGTCACCATGTACCAGATATCTCAACCTGCAAAAACCCATTCTCAGAGTTTGGCCTCATCACATAGTAGTACATGAATAAAGTAGCTCCTAAACTTAAATTCCAAAAATCACAGCTGTTCTCCCTTATCATTTACATTTGCTTTATTTCCCGTTCGTTCGTAAGCCACATACACAGGTTGATTCCATCAGCTGTATTTGTGTGCCGCACTCTGCGCTCCCACAAAAGTGATGTGATGAAATCTAAACAGAAGTGGTCAAAGGAGATGTGTTCAAACTCATTTATACCAGGTGGAAACGGTAAATGCATTTCAGCTGAAAACTTGGTATCGAATCACCAAAAATGCACTTTAATACCCTGGAAATGGGGCTTCTTTCTCTTTCACTCGATTTCCAGAATATTGTAAATAATTTGAGGGACCCACTATCAATATGCGGGAGAATCTCTGACATTCCGGGAGAGGTGTGAACACGAGTGCGGTTTTGATAAATATTATGGCAATATAAAAATTCTATACTTTTTTTTTATAATAAATGTAAAAAAAATACACTAAAAAGAAAATAATTTGCTGTGCTGAAAAATGTTTATTTAATTTATGGATATAATCTATAATTAATATAATATTTCAAATGCTTACGTTTTTATACGTGTGTGTGTGTGTGTGTGTGTGTGTGTGTGTGTGTGTGTGTGTGTGTGTGTGAGAGATAATTTAAGATGGATATCCATTTTGAGATTTTTATATAATGATAATATTTAATTGTTGATAATAAGAATGAATAATTAAATATCTATAATCGACAAGATATATCAAATATTATTGGAGCAACCTGAAAAAAATATCATGTAGAATCAATGCTTTATCATGTAGCTCTTGATTAGAACACAGTGCAAGTATGAATATTATTAAATACAAAATTAGTCATATTATGAATTAGCATTGTCAGCCTGTAATCACAAAAATTATTGTATGCAAAAGGCTTGTGGTTCAGGAGGAGGTTTATACCATAAGGGCCCGTTTACCCAGAAAAAAACGGAGAAGAAAAGTAGCACAGTGGAATGCAAAAATGCATTGTATGTAAATGGGCTAGATTGATGTCTTTGACAGTTGTGCTCACGTCAGGCGTCTTTTTTAGTCTTTTCTCATTCATGACTCTGCATTCTAAAAACAGTGGCACTCAAAGTTAAAGTAAGTTAAAACCTGTCTTGAGACCTTCCATTCCACTGCTCGTTTTTCAATGCAAAAACACGTTCTGTGTAAGTAACCCCTAAGACTGCAGCCTAAGACTGGATCTGTTTCATTGGTTGAAAGCGACTGACAGATGCAGAAACCAAGTGGAGGGAGATAAGGAGACGTTAGCAAGGACGTTACACTTTCCATTGCTGCACACACCACATAAATTTCTTATATGAAGTTTCCAGTTGAAGATAAAACGAAGACAAAAAGTATTAGAGTGGGGTAGACAGAGCGGGCGGAGGAGTGAAAGTGATATGGCGAGAATGAGATTGGATGGGTGCATGAGAGCTTTCCTGTGAGATGGGATGAGAGACGTCCGTGTGTGAAGGTATGTGGTTTAAACGATAATGCTGCTCGGGGACGTTGGCAGGATATGCTATCAGACAGCATGAAGAAGAACATCTGTTGCTTTGAATTTCAGCTCGACTTCACGGCACTGCAGCGAACTAACGGGGGATAGATCAAGCACACTATGAAAGTTTCACCTCAAGGAGACATTTATCTTGCTATAAAAGTGTAAGATGGGTATTTTTATGATAACACATTATATTCTGAAATAAAAAATACAAATAAAGGTTAATCTATGAGGTAGGTATACTAGATTCTCTTTAAAAAGGTCTTAAGTTAGAAAAATAGTAGAAAAGTAGAAATTTTGAGGTAGAAATACAGACTGATTGGTGTTTATATATATATATATATATATATGTATATATAATCGTTTAGAACCTGTTCAAGCAATTTATCAGTGTAAGTTTACCAAGTTGCATACAAGCATCTGTGATATGCTGTTGAAAATAATTTTCTTTCACGGCTCAGTTTGTGAAAGCTAACTTTTTTTTTATATAAATAAAGCACTTACAGTAAGGCAAGACATTATACTCAAATAAATGGTAAAATATTTTCAGTTTTGACAGTATAAACAAAACTATACATATTAGCATGAGACGTGCGTTGATAAAATCATCTACTAACCTTGTCTGTGTAGTTATATCCAATATAACTGCCTGTAATGACCATATTATAAAGCTCGTAGACCTGATAAATGTCACATGGTACGTGCAAGGATACCAGAAAGGGACATGACATAACTTGTAAAATACTGAGCTCCACACACAGGATTTACATCAGTAAACATGTAATAAGATACCACTTTTAAAAATACAGTATAAACTTTGCAGCTATACATTTTTGTATCAAAAAACTTATTTAGATTTTTGCCTTGCCCTAATGTCTTGCATTATAAGTTCATTACTGTATTTTTCTATAGAAGCTGCATATAGATTATGCCACAGAGTCTGTCTATAGAGATTACCTAGTATTGAATGGAATATAAATAAACCTTTTATTCCCATTCTAACAAATATATAATAAATAAACATTTTTTGCTTTCCATCAGTGGCGTTTCACCAAAAAGCCTTTCATAGCTCTCATGCTGTGGCTGTGCAACACAATACAAATGACTGATACATTGAAGCTTGTTTGGTTTCTATGCTGACCTCATTGAAAGCATTCACATTAGAAAAAATTACCTTTTACATATAAAATCACTGTGGATTGTTTAGTGCTCTTGAGTGCCCTTTTCTACTTGACTGAGTTCACATTTACTCAGGGAGCCATGAAACACTTTCAACTCTTACGGCGTTCTCACAAATTGGTCTCATGGCTCGACACACCGCTGTGCGCTCATGATTAAAAGGTCTTGTACTGGCATAATGACGTTGCTTTCTCTAGGATGATGGTTCACAGGAACAAGTGACTTCCATACAATAGTTAGAAACGGCAATGAGGCAAAAGTGTGTTGTATCAGAAAGACACAAAAATGGATGAATTGGTTGTCTCAGCATTTTGGATTAGTCAATTTCTCCATTGTTTTCCACAAAACAAGGCTGCACAGCTGTGAAAAGGTAACAGCTGCATGCCATGACCTCATCCTCAGAGTAAATTGGTAACATATGATGACCTCTTGACTTAACATTGGGTGAATTGGGTGTTGGCAATGGAAATGCTGCACATGTTGTTTTTATTTGCATTGTTGCCAACCGGGTTTTTCAGGACGAGGAGTGTAATCGCAGCTCCATCTAGTGGCAATAGTATGCTAGCAGGGTTTATTTTTTTCTCAACCCTTTTGTCCGTAATGTTATTGAATATATTCATTTAAATAACCATATTTTGTGATATGAGGTTTCAAGTATCTGTTCTCTCTCTCTGTGTGTGTGTGTGTGTGTGTGTGTGTGTGTGTGTGTGTGTGTGTGTGCATGTTGTGCATGTCACTGTTTAAGGTCAGCAAAGTGAAATAGTCAGGTATCAGCACTTTAGCTCCTGTTAGGAGGAAAATCAGTCATTTCTAAGGTCAGCTGTCTGACACACACACACACACACACACACACACACACACACACACACACACAC